TTAACCAACCGAGCCACCCAGGCGCCCCTGTTTTTCTTAGTTATGTTTTAATAGCAAAATAGTTTCTCAGTGCTTTTGATGATAAAGTAAGACCTTGCTTAAAAACAAAGTGTAACTGCTTACTTTAAGGTAGAAGGTAGAGTCACTGATAGGAAGATAAAGTTTTCTTTTAAAGGATCTTCTTTTTCCGCCTTGGAAGACTTTAATTCTCCATAAGCACCTGTTCTACTAAAAACCCGTTGCTGGTGGTAGCATCGGAAGCATGCTTTGTTTGAAATAGATGCATAAAGGCTTTTTAAACACAAGCCCATCGGTTCCTCTCTGTTAGGATGTGTGTGACATCTACGTAAAGTGAGACTGGAGTCCTTAAAATTGAGAGAAATGGAGTTGAGGTTGTACGGGCACAGCGAAACTTTCCAGGGCGCTTTCAAGGTTCTAATTACCTGGAAAAAAAAAATCTCCAAACCTCCAGGCGTTTTCTAGTCAGTATCATGTCTATGGCAGTGGTTACCATGACCCCAGGAATGTGCCCGTTCACTGCACCCACTGAAGCGTTTGCTTCCCCCAAGAGGTCCAGCCTTTGGAACTAACAGACCTGTACTTTGAGCTCCTGCTGCCCCTTGCTAGCTGAGTAAATGACTCCACGTATTTCCCGAAGCCCTAGAGAGCGGGGTGTCAGGACTGTCAGGTTCCTGTGGCTGTTGCGGGAAAACGAGAGGACATGTGTAGAGCACGTGCTGTGGCCCCTGGAATAATGGTGCCTTGACCCACTTGAGTTCCCGTCCCAGGTCCTTTCAGGAATGGGCTTCAGTTCAGTCGCAAAGCCTGTGGATCCTTTCTAAGTTCTTTTATTTTTTTTATTTTTTAATTTTTTTTTATTTTAGAGAGAAACAGAGTGTGAGCAGGGGAGGGTCAGAGAGAGAGGGAGACACAGAATCCGAAGACAGGCTCCAGGCTCTGAGCTAGCTGTCAGCACAGAGCCCGACGCGGGGCTAGAACCCATGAACCGTCAGATCATGACCTGAGCCGAAGCTGGACGCTCAACCCACTGAGCCACCCAGGCGCCCCGATCCTTTCTAAGTTCTGTGTCTCTCTTTTTCATGTCATATTCAGCGACACAGGATGATGGTGGCGGTCACTTACGGCTCACTTAACCACCTTGTTCTCGCTGTCACAACAGCTATAAGTGTGTTGTCCGCAGTTCGAATCCCCTCGACAACCCATTGGTGCGATTACTGGGCCCATTTCATAGATGAGGACACTAAGGCATAGGGGTAAAGGAACACGCGTAGGGCCATTTCTACCCGGGAAGCTGTGGAACCAGATTATAAATCCAGATAGGCTGTGGCTGGTATGGATGGGAAGTCCTTCTGGCAGAAAAGCAGAATAAAAGGTGAGTGAACCCGAAAGTCTCAGAAATGGTCTTCTCATTTCTATTCTGCAAAGCGTCACGTCTTCCAGGCCCGGCCGTCTCAATATTGAAATACACAGTTGACTTTTTCTGCTTCTGATTTCACAGATCAACAGGAGCAATTTTAGTCATTTGTGTTTTATGAGTTTAAATTAGGCCACGAAAGGCCAGGAGGGGAATTCCTTGTTTTCATTTGATCTCATGCACTAACAAATTTACTCATGCAACTTCCCCTATTTTTTTTTCTCGAATGTTTTCACTTGAAAGTGGGGGTGGAAGGGAGAAGTGTGTGAGTATTTGGGTCCCAGGGATGCACTGTCATTTATCTTTCTGGAGAATCCTCCGTCTGGTGTAGAACGAATCCCTAGGAAAGTGAAATGAGTAAGAACCGTAATGACTGGTGTCTTTCTCCTTTATCTCCACCTAGCTCTAGGGCGCTCACTTTCTGGAAGGGCAAGACGGCCGAGCAAAGAATTGTAGGGAATGAGGGAGTGACGTACCTAAAAGGCCTGTATTTGGATGACGAGTTCATTCTCAGAGGATGGGGGAGGGGGTTCCCACTGAGCATTTCCTCCTCTTTCAAATGTGGGTTGAGAATTTGACTTGGAAGGGGAGAGCAAGCTACCCTAGCTGACGGCTCACGGTGCTTCGAAATCTCGGGGGCACCTGGGTGGCTCAGTCGGTGGAGCATCCGACCTCAGCTCAGGTCACCATCTCACGGTCCCTGGGTTCAAGCCCTACATCCGGCTCTGCACTGTCATTGCGGAGCCTACTTGGCATTCTCTCTCCTTTCTCTTTCTCTCTCTCTCTCTGCTCCTACCTCACTTGCGAGCTCTCCCTCTTCCTCTCAAAAATAAATAGACTAAAAAAAAAAAAAAAAGAGAAATCTCTCTAAAACATTTTCTGGCTTTGGACTGAGCCTACCTGTAGGAAGATATAATAATCTTCCTTCCTCCCTTCCTCCCTCCCTTCCTTTCTTTCTTCCTTCCTCCCTCCCCCCTTCCCTCTCTCCCCTCCTCCCCTCCTCCTTCCTTTACCCATATTGTCACATAAGTCACGCAACGCCTACCTGCAGACAGATGAAAGAAAGGACAGCGTGAGGGTCCATTGGGGGAAGACAACCCACTCTTTTTTCCTTTCCCCTCAGCGACTCCATCTTTTATTTGACCCTTTGCCATTTTGGCGACAAGGCACATTTCACACGCTGACATTCATCAAAGTCTTTAAGCATCTTCCTGTGGCAGCCGGGCTTTTATTTTTTAAAGTAAGGGAAAGAAAAGGCTTGTGACGGGAAAATAATGCAGAGCAATGGTCTTTCTTTCTTCTCTTTTTTGATGGCGGTGGAGGAAAGGCCCCCTAGTAGGGAGTGTTTGCAGAACATTAAGAGACCGCAGCGATGTCTTGGAAGAGGTTTTTAAGTAGAATTTAAGCTAATTTGGAGCGGGGGGGGGGGGGGGGGGGCCGGGGGTACCCGGCTCTGCCCTCAATTAAGTTTATTGTGAGATTTTGCAAACATCTTTAAGTGGTGATGGGGCAGTAGGGATACCCGCTCTTCTGGGGAGATGAAGATACAGAGGCAATTTTTAACCTGGGCGTCATTTGGCATAGTTTTTGAAAACAGCAGCAGCAACACGTAACCAGCCCTTCAGGTTCTCGGTCATGGCACGAACCGGGTGAGTTTTCTGGGGAGGGTTGACCGCAGTAGCCCAGGTAAAAACCCTTCCTTCTCTTCTACCCATAAGGGATCTATTCTTTCTCCCCCGGCCCTGCCTGAATTCTCTTAGTACTTGGGGGAAATGTTCACCCTCCTGTAAACCTCCGGCCCACCCGGGCCCCTCAAGTACGGGCTGTTAGGTGAGAGGTTAACAAAAATGGTCCTGGGTGCCGACTAGCCTGCATAAGCTTGTAGCGGAGCAGTTGGCAGAGACGTCGTGGGGGGCATGTTCTTTTTGCAAAATGTGTTGCACACCTACCACAGGCCAGATGGTGTTTTGGGTCTGGGAATACGACCGTGAACAAGGTTCCTGCCTGCGTGGGGGGGGCAGGGTGGCTGACGGTGATGGCGCAGAGTACATGCCAGGTGGCAGGTAGGTAATTAGGGAGAAAAATACGTCCAGGGCAGACAGAGGAGCATCCGAGGGGTCCAGGGAAGGACAGCTTATCCGGGGCTCTCGGGAAAGGCCTCTGCGCCATTGTGATGCTTTGCTCAGAGACTTACCCACGAGTATGTGGAAGAAGGGGATGGTAGGCAGAGAACACGAAAACCACCCCAGTGGAGTGGGAAGCAAGCTTGTCACGTCCGTGAGTTAGGAAAGAGGCCAGTGTTGGGGCGCCTGGGAGGGCTCGGTCACTTAAGCATCCAGCTCTTGATCTCCGCTCAGGTCACGATCTCCTGGTTCGTGAGTTCGAGCCCCGCGTGAGGCTCTGTGCTGCCTGTGCGGAGCCTGCTTGGGAGTCTCTCTCGCCCTCCCTGTTTCTCTGCCCCAACCCCGCTTGCGCGCTCTCTCAAAATAAGTAAATAAACTTAAAAAGAATTTTTTTTTTAAGGAAAGAGAGGCCAGTGTGGAACAGTAAGCAGGGGGGACGGTAGCAGATGAGGTCTGGGAAGTAGTGGATATCAGGTCTCCTAGGGCCCTGTTGGCCATAGAAGCTTCTGGAAAGTAGGAGACCATAACGAGAGGGAAGGAGGATGGTGTTCTGAGAGTATGGGTGATTTTGTGTAGGGATCCCAGAGAGACCAGCCCTTGGCACCTCTTAACTGGAGTGTGTTCAAGCTACGTAGGGCTCTCTTTGGATAAAATGCTCCTTTTGTCAGAAAACCTTGGGAGGGGGAAAGAGCGAGACAGAGAGAGAAAGTTGAGCTATCAACCCCTTAGCAGCTAAGGAGCCAAAAGTGGATAATTCCTCCTGTCACATTTATTCCACAGGGAGGTAGTGTGGGGTCCCTAGGTGTCCAGCACTGGGCGGTTTCCATTCCGTTCCTGGCTGCCAAAACCTCGCTCTCCGAGGGGCATGTCGTTGCTGGCTTGATCCCCCTTGAAACAGTGGAGAATCGGGAAACTTTGATGGTTTCCACGTGACTCCGTGCTAAACATTCCGCATCTTCTTTTTTGTAGCCCTGAGTTCTGTGTTCCCTGACTTGAGTGATTTTCTCATAATTCTGTGCGCAGATCCGCTTGATACAGGTTTAAAAAGCTGTGTTCTGTAGTTCTTAATTTACATCTGGAGGCAGAAGAGGAGCGTGGGAAAGCCAAAGCCATTGCTCCGCTAGGATGAACACAAGTGTCTCTGCGTATTTGCTTTGAAATAACTGCGTTAGGGATGCCTGGGTGGCTCAGTCAGTTAAGCGTCTGACGTCGGCTCAGGTCATGAACGTGCGATCCATGGGTTTGAGTCACACGTCGGGCTCTGTGCTGACAGCTCAGAGCCTGGAGCCTGCTTCAGATTCAGTGTCTTCCTCTCTCTCTCCCCCTCCTTCTCTCATGCTCTGTCCATCTCTCTCTAACTCAAAAATAAATAAAAACATTAAAAATTTAAAAAAAAAGGAATAACTGCGTTAAAGCCATTTTGTTTTTGCAATTTCTTACAGAGTTCATTGCTGTAGATGGATTGCGGCCCCTTGTCGTCCTCTGCTCTGTCATCATCTGCTATTAAACACCCTCCCTGTTGTGCAAGGTACGTACAGTCTCTGTCATCTGGGACTTTTCTTGGTAACAGACATGGCGGTCAGCGAGGGCAGACGTAAGATGCGTGTGCGCATCATTTTATCCACACTGGACCACACAGCCGAGTCTAACCACTTACACAGCGTCGTGGAGGCTTGGCAGCTCTTTGTACGTCTTGTCCACGTTTCTCTTCCTTCGCCCCACTTGAGACCCGACACCTCAGTCTTACCACCTGACTTTCCACTAGTTAGTTATGCATTTGGGTTAGCACCCCTGTTCTTTGAGCCAGGGACCCACCTGCAGAAAAGAGTCAACCGGTTTTGTCATTTATAGTTTGGCTCAACTGGACCGGATTTCCTCACTGCCTCTGGCTGAAACTGACTGAGCGATTGAGAGTTTCACTTGTGGGCTGGAGAAATTAGTGACTGGGGAACATAGAGTGCTTGCTGGCGGACGGCCTGGCTTGCTCCTGTCCACCCTCCTCTGAGGTAGGATCTCTGGACTGAGAGAAAGGTAGCTGAAAGTTGCCACTTCCGGTGGGGAGAAGCCAGCCCCCGTGGCTTGAGCTACCTTGGGAGCTGAGAGAGAAAGATGTAGAAGTAGCTACGGAAGGATGTAGGAGACCCCCCGGGGTACCTGCACATTTCTGGTTTTTTAAAGAAAAATGTTTTTTAGTGTCTTTTATTTATTTTTGAGAGAGAGACAGAGACAGCGTGAGCAGGGGAGGGTCAGAGAGAGAGGGAGATACAGAATCTGAAGACAAGCTCCAGGCTCCAGGCTCTGCGCTGGCTGTCGGCACAGAGCCTGATGCGCGGCTCGAACCCACGAACCGCGAGATCATGACCTGAGCCGAAGTTGAACGCTTAACCGACTGAGCCACCCAGGTGTTCGCCCCCCAAATTTTTTAAATGTTTGTTTATATTTGAGCGAGAAGCGGGGAGCATGAGCAGGGGAGGGGCAGAGAGAGAAGGAGACAAGAATCAGAAGCAGGCTCCAGGCTGCCCACACAGAACCCGACGTGGGGCTCGGACCCACGAACCTCAAGATCGTGACCTGAGCCGAAGTCGGACGCGTAACTGACTGAGCCCCCCAGGCGCCTCTAAATTTCTGGTCTTAACGCCCAAGTGACTTCTCTCTGGCATCTTCGACCTGGGGGTCCATTCCTGCTTAGCTCCTGAGAAATGGTAGGGGGGTGTTCGAATTCAGGAATGGGAGTTCAAGACCTGGTCTCCCCCAGATTCCCCGGCGTACATCTCTCAACTGAATCTGCTTTCTAGGTGAAAGATCGAGAGTTACATATGCAGGTCCCTTTTCAAGCAGCCTCTGCCTTCCAGCTTAAAGGGCAGCACATGTGTCACTCATGAAGTGGCGTGTCCTCCTTGGTCCTTTTTCTAAAGCTGGTCATGTCTGCTGGTCTCCCGCGGCTTGAGCCGTTTTGCCCCGTGCATCCCGGGGCTCCCCCCTTGCCTTCCCCCCACATCAGTAGACAGTTTGCAGCCTGTGCTCTGAGACCGTGATATTTCTGCCTTGGACTGGAGTCTATTCTGGAACGGGCTGTGTGGTGGCCGGGCACTGCAAAATGAGTCAGTTCCTGCAGTTCGGTTACAAGTTCTCAAAAAGTATTTCAGAATGTGGATGTGGTCAGCAGAGTCATTTTCCAGGCATCTAAAAGGAAACCCACATCAACTGTAACAATTGAGCTGCGAGCCGATGGCCCTGCACAGCACAACTGGGCCTGCTTTTCCTCAAAGGAAAGCCTTAGAGCTGCTCTCAAACTCGCCTCCTTTATAGATCTTAAAGGAGACGTCATCTTTGTGCTCGCAGATCACATTGTAGCTGTAACCGATGGCGCAAACAGTGAGAAAAAGGTTTGGCCTCCGTCATCTTTTGACTGTGGGTCATCTTTTGACTGTGGCCGCAAGTTTGACAGGAGAAGTTCTCGTAAAATGGAATCTTAAGATTAGAATGCAGTGCGCCCAGAGCGTGAACCGTGGCTTTGGGACGGGTACTTTGGTGATCGTGGCTGATGCTCTGAGGGAGAACTAAGATGGTTTAGGCACCACCAGCATGCGCGGATGTACGATTATTTTGTTTGCTGATGGAGTTCTGAGCCTCTGTAGAGTTAGCAATGCCAGTAAGAATAATCACAGCCTTTTCTCACTTTCAAAGAATTTCAGGTTTGGCCTAACGTGTGGACAATATTTTAGTTCAGCATTGGGGAGGTTTTGTGTTTTTTTTATCCCCTTGGGGACCCCATGAATTAAATGAATTAAAATGCTGATCGAGGTCTTAGCTATCCGTTTTGCACCACCCATTAAAACCGATGGGGTTTTCAATAATGGAGAAACGGGCCTAGAAAAAATGGGCAAATGGTTTGAACAGACACTTTACCAAAGAAGAGAGACAAATGACAGACAGGCATATGAAAAGATGTTCACCATCAGAAGTCATTAGGGAAATGCACATTGAAACACCAGTCATCTACTGCCATCCACCTATTTGAATGGCTCCAATGGAAAAGGCCGATCATACCAAGTGGCAGCAGGTTTGTGGATGTTCCAGAACTCTCCTAATACATTTAGGTGGAAATGTAAAATGGCATATTTTGGAAGACCATTGCCAAAGTCTTACAATGTTAAAGATACACCTACCGTATGGTCCAGATATTCTGCTCCTAGAGAGAAGAACATCTATGTCTGTACAGAGATTTGTACATGGGTGTTTATGGCCGTTTATAAGTAATAGCTAGAAACCGGAAGCAACCCTGATGTCCATCAACAGGTGAATGGATCAACAAATTGCGTGTCCGTATGACGGATAGTACTCAAGACTGAAACGAAGTGAGTTACTAATGTAGTCAGCAACGTAGAGGACCCCACCCTAAGTGCAAGAAGCCAGACAGAAGGGAGTACACACTGTACAATTCAATTTATGTAAAATTCTAGAACATGCAAAAGAAATTCATGATGGTAGCAGATTCCTGGTTGCTTGGGGTGGTGAGTGGGAGGGATTATAAGAGGGCACAGGGAAAAGTTGGGGGCCGGTGGATAATTTCACTATGTTGCTTGTAGTGATAGATTCACAGGTATAGGCACCTGTCAAAACTGAAATCAACTTGTATACTTTAAATAGGTGCGGTTTATGGCGTGTTAGTTATTCCTCCATTAAAAACAACTTTAAAAAATGAGCAATCACTATTCTGGTCGATGGAGCATTTAAAAATGCCCTTGTTTGACATAATAAAGACTTGGCATTTCTTAGGAAAAAAAAATACCCAATGAAAGTTTAATTTGGGGAGGATAGATCTATAACCTTCTAATAACAGAGGAGAAACAGAAGTTAAACTGAATGGAATAGATGTGATAACTTTAGTTCCTCCTGTTTCCAAGGGATTGAAACTGATGAATCCACACCGATCTTGTCCAGCACCCGTGGGGCCAGCTCCCTGCCTGGTGTATAATCATTGGCACTTAACACAGCTCCTGTAGCACTTGCCAAATGACAGGGCTCGGGGGTGGGGGGGCTGTCCTAAAGCCTCTGCAGCAGGGTTCAGATCTGCAAAGATGTAAAGCCCCCTTAAGATTCTCCCACTGTCAGAGAGAAGTAAGTCTATGCACAGAGCACATGAACATTGATAAAGACCCTTCAGAAACCTCATTTTGTGTGTTCATCTCAACAATCCCATGGTCAGGAGGATCAGCATTCCCTTCCTCTGCTTGGGGACCATGCTGCGAACCAGAGAAGCCGAGCTGTTTGCCTGGATCACAGAGCCCTCCCCTTCTTGGACAGAGGTCACCATTCTTCCTACTGTACCTCGTTGCTTCCCCAAATTCATGTCCTTGGCTATTTGGCTAAGCTTCTTCACTCATAGATCTTCAGGCAGTCTCCTCTGTTTGTATATGAGCTGCTCACGGCGATGATCTTTAATCCTGTTTCCCCATTCTGTAGAAGGGTAGTAATAACAGCCGCAGGTTTCATGAGAATATTGTAAAGATCAAGGACTCCTATGGTGAAAGAGCTGTAGTAGCCCGTAAACATGGTGCACGCAGTGGGTATTGATATTTACAATGTGATTTCCTTATCAGGCCTGACTGCTGATGGCGCACTACTGAATGAGCAGCTTTGTAAAACCAGCCAGTAGACAAAAGAGCTTAATTCCATGAGTTGCATTGTGGTTTCCGTCAAGATCGCGAGTTTCATAGTAAATGAAATCTTGTGCCATGGATTATGGGAAACCCTTCCTTAAGAGACACTAAATGGTCCTGGAGCACCTGGGTGGCTCAGTCGGTTAAGCGTCCGAATCTTGATTTCTGCTCAGGTCATGAGCTCACGATTCGTGGGATTGAGCCCTACATGGGGCTCTGCACTGGGCATGGAGCCTGCTTAAGATTCTCTCTCTCTTTCTCTCTCCCCCCCCACCTCCTCCCTCCCTCCCTCCCTCCCCTCACCCTGCCCTTCCCTTGCTCATCTATGCTTTCTCTCACTCTCAAACAAACAAACAAACAAACAAAAAGATACTAAACAGTCCTTAGTTGAGTCCTGGAGACTGAAACCTGTGGTTTGAAAGCACACTGAAGAGCTGAACGCGGGTGCCTTTGGGGTTGACTTAGCTGGGAAGGTTGACCCGTCCGTGCTTGGCACCTTTTTCCTCCTTGGCTATATTGACCGACATTTCTCTTTGCTTTGTCACATTCAGTGGCTCGCTTTCTTTCCTGTCCCTCTTCCTTTCTGATGGGTCTCTTGCCAACCAAACTTCTTCCCAGCTTATGTGATGAACAATGTGGGGACCACCATAGTCTTGTTTTACTCCCTAGGATGGCATTTCACAAAACCTGTTTTCAAAACACAGGGGAAAACTCTGGTTGAAGAAGTTCAGGAAACGCTGGGTTGAACAGCATTCAATTACATTTCTTTCCTGCGAGACTTCTCAGAACCTTTTTCTGTTTGTATTGAAACCTCGAGAGGAGCATATGGTACCTCTGTAACATTTCCCAAATTTAATAGATTCAC